TGAAAGAAGTTAGCCTATTTTCAAGCGATGCGTAATATCATTGCGCCTGCTGCACCCATGGTACGTCAGCAAAGTTCCTTGATTATTACGCCGGAATGAGAGTATAGTTAAAAAATGTGCCTATTTTCAAAAATAGTGGAGTGTTCCTTTAACAAAAGCCATGAATAGAAGGTGACCAATTACCAGCAGAGCCCAACAGGCGCCATTACAGTTTCCATTAAAACCAATACAGTTTTCATTATAACCAGTACAACCATTACAAATTATGTGATGGTTTCTATTTTTTTTTTTCAACAGAGGATTGAAATAAATGTATTATTGTATGAACTAAAATACTTGAAATCTACATAGAGCTGAATGCAAAATGTATATGACAATGATAAACATAAACCTAGAATCTAGAAACCTGAAACAACAGAATTCTTCAATTTGAGTATTCATATGTCTGTTTGTGTGTGTGTGTGTGTGTGTGTCATGTTAATCAGACTAATCACCTTATAGGCTACTTCATTTACTCTTATTTTCTAACTCAATAGCTCTCAAATGTAACCCGTTGTAGAATCGCTGCTGTCTCTTTATGAATGAATGAAATATTCATGCCAGACATTGCGGAGGGATAAATAGCAGTGGACGCTTGGACCTGGGATTTTACTATAGTGCTATAGGCTACATGCTGTGTATAGTGAGAGAGGAGGACAAAGGTTTCTCTGATGTTTAGCTTCTCCCAACCGCCTTGCAAAAATAGATTGCATTAGTGCCCCCTTTTGTCGGCCGTCAATGCCACTTAATCTGACACTTTTTCTTTGATGATGAACCAGCCAGCCTACGGCCATCGGATGGACGGCCGTTCTGGACTTCTCCAGAACGTCCAGATGGCCAGTCCGCCCCTGCTCTCTCCTGTAGTGGACTCAAAAAGCCCGCGCTCTGACTGTAATTCAGCAGCTGGGTCGTTTTGTTGGAGAGACTCAACTCAGCGGTTGGGTAGAAAAAAATAACCCCGCTTTAAAAATGACCCAGCAACTTAGTTACGGGGAAAACTACCCAGCACCTGGTTAAAATATTAAAAACAACCAAATAAAATGACCCAACAGGCTGAACCCAGCATTTGGGTTAGAAAATAACCCAGCATTTTTTAGAGTGCATGATTGCCGCCCCCACTGGATCCCCCAACATCACTGAGCTTGAGTACTGTCATTCTGACTATGCCTGTATGCCATTGGATCAGGGCGCTGTCAATTGCTGCCTGATTGTTGCATGCAAAGTTTTGTAGCGAATCAGCTCAAGGGGAAATATGAATACTTAATCATAACTAGTTATAATTAATTATAAATATTTAGATCCGCTGTA